TCAGATTTGTGGGACATTGGGACCGGTCCTGGGGGAGGTGGGACTATTAAAAATCGGATGGTCTACACCTGGGCAGGACTGGAACCAATGTCCTAGGGGCTGCTTTTGCTAACGCTGTTGGGGAGGATTTAAACTAATGTGGCAGGGGGGTGGAACTGAATGAGGAGGTTAGTGGACAGTAAGGAGGCAGTAACTAAAGCCTGTAAGGAACCAGTTAATGAAGTCAGGGTGACTAAGGGGAAGAGCAGGCAGAGAGCAGATGATGAACGCAAAGGGACAGGCGGTCTGAGGTGCATTTGTTTTAATGCGAGAAGTATAGTAGGTAAGGCAGATGAACTTAGGGCTTGGATTAGTACCTGGGAATATGATGTTATTGCTATTACTGAGACTTGGTTGCGGGAAGGGCAAGATTGGCAACTAAATATTCCAGGATATAGATGCTTCAGGCGAGATAGAGAGGGAGGTAAAAAGGGTGGAGGAATTGCATTACTGGTCAAAGAGGATATCACAGCTGTGCTGAAGGAGGGCACTGTGGAGGACTCTAGCAGTGAGGCAATATGGGCAGAGCTCAGAAATAGGAAGGGTGCGGTAACAATGTTGGGGCTGTAGTACAGGCCTCCCAACAGTGGACGTGAGATAGAGGTACAAATATGTAGACCGATTATGGAAAGATGTAGGAGCAACAGGGTGGTGGTGATGGGAGATTTTAATTTTCCCAACATTGACTGGGATTCACTTAGTGTTAGGGGTTTAGATGGATCAGAATTTGTAAGGAGCATCCAGGAAGGTTTTCTAGAGCAGTATGTAAATAGTCCCACTCGGGAAGGGGCCATACTGGACCTGGTGTTGGGGAATGAGCCCGGCCAGGTGGTTGAAGTTTCAGTCGGGGATTACTTTGGGAATAGTGATCACAATTCCGTAAGTTTTAGAATACTCCTGGACAAAGACGAGAGTGGTCCTAAAGGAAGAGTGCTAAATTGGGGGAAGGCCAACTATAGCAAAATTGGGCAGGAGCTGGGAAATGTGAATTTACCCTCAAACGGCTGCTCCCAATCCACATTTGATATGTGGGAGGCTTTTAAAGAGAGGTTGATTAGAGTGCAGGACAGACATGTCCCTGTGAAAATGAGGAATAGAAAGGGCAGGATTAGAGAACCATGGATGACAGGTGAAATTGTGAGACTAGCAAAGAGGAAAAAGGAAGCATACATGAGGTCTAGGTGACTGAAAACAGACGAAGCTTTAGAAAAATATCTGGAAAGTAGGACCAATCTGAAACGAGGAATTAAGAGGGCTAAAAGGGGTCATGAAATATCTTTAGCAAACAGGGTTAAGGAAAATCCCAAAGCCTTTTATTCGTACATAAGGAGCAAGAGAGTAACTAGAGAAAGGGTTGGCAAACTCAAGGACAAAGGAGGGAAGTTATGTGAGGAGTCAGAGAAAATGAGTGAGATTCTTTAATGAGTACTTTGCGTTGGTATTCACCGAGGAGAGGGACATGACAGATGTTGAGGTTAGGGATAGATGTTTGATTACTCCAAGTCAAGTCGGCATAAGGAGGAGGGAAATGTTGGGTATTCTAAAAGGCATTAGAGTGGACAAGTCCCCAGGTCCGGATGGGATCTATCCCAGGTTACTGAGGGAAGCGAGAGAGGAAATAGCTGGGGCCTTAGCAGATATCTTTGCAGCATCCTTGAGCACAGGTGAGGTTCCAGAGGACTGGAGATTGCTAATGTTGTCCCCTTGTTTAAGAAGGGTAGCAAGGATAATCCAGGTAGTTATAGACCGATTAGCCTGACGTCAGTGGTGGGGGAAGCTGCTGGAGAAGATACTGAGGGATAGGATCTATTTACATTCGGAAGAAAATGGGCTTATTAGTGATAGGCAGCATGGTTTTGTGCAGGTAAGGTCATGTCTTACCAACTTGATAGAATTCTTTGAGGAAGTGACAAAGTTGATAGATGAGGGAAGGGCTGTGGATATCATATACGTGGACTTCAGTAAGGCATTTGATAAGGTTCCCCATGGTAGGCTGATTAAGTTGCATGGGGTCCAGGGCGTACTAGCTAGATGGGTAGAGAACTGGCTGGGCAACAGGAGACAGTTGTAGTGGAAGGGAGTTTCTCAAAATGGAGAACTGTGACCAGTGTTCCACAGGGATCCATGTTGGGACCACTGTTGTTTGTGATTTACATAAATGATCTGGAGGAAAGTAAAGATGGTCTGATTAGCAAGTTTGCAGATGACACTAAGATTGGTGGAGTAGCAGATAGTGAAGGGGACTGTCGGAGAAGGCAGCAGAATATAGATAGATTGGAGCGTTGGGCGGAGAGATGGCAGATGGAGTTCAATCCAGGCAAATGCGAGATGATGCATTTTGGAAGATCCAATTCAAGAGCGAACTATACGGTAAATGGAAAAGCCCTGGGGAAAATGGATGCACAGAGAGATCTGGGTGTTCAGGTCAATTGTACCCTGAAGGTGGCAACGCAGGTGGATGGAGTGGTCAAGAAGGCATACGGCATGCTTTCGTTCACCGAACGGGGTATTGAGTACAAGAGTTGGCAGGTCATGTTACAGTTGTATAGGACTTTGGTTCGAATACATTTGGAGTACAGTTCTGGTTGTCACATTACCAAAAGGATGTGGATGCTTTGGAGAGGGTGCAGAAGAGGTTCACCAGGACGTTGCCTGGTATGGAGGGTGCTAGCTATGAAGAGAGGTTGAGTAGATTAGGATTATTTACATTAGAAAGACGGAGGTTGATGGGGGAACCTGATTGAGGTCTACAAAATCATGAGAGGTATAGACAGGGTGGATAGCAAGAAGCTTTTTCCCCCAGAGTGGGGGACTCAATTACTAGGGGTCACTATTTCAAGGTGAGAGGGGAAAAGTTTAAGGGAGATATGCGTGGAAAGTTCTTTACGCAGAGGGTGGTGGGTGCCTGGAATGCGTTGCCAGTGGAGGTGGTAGAGGCAGGCACGATAGCGTCATTTAAAATGTTTCTAGACAGATACATGAATGGGCAGGGAGCAGAGGGATACAGATCCTTGGAAAATAGGTGATAGCAGGAACTGCAGATGCTGGAGAATCCGAGACAACAAGGTGCAGGGCTGGATGAACACAGCCTCTCTGCTCCTATGATGCTGCTTGGCCTGCTGTGTTCATCCAGCCCTGCACCTTGTTGTCTTGGAAAATAGGTGACAGGTTTAGATAAGAGGATCTGGATCGGCGCAGGCTTGGAGGGCAAAAGGGCCTGTTCCTGTGCTGTACTTTTCTTTGTTCTTTGTTGATCCTTTTTTTTTGTAATGCAGATCAAGTTGTCTGCAACTATTGTCAGCTCATGTCCCTCACAGACAAGTCAACTCCAACCGGAAATTAAAAGGCAAGCAGATGACAATAAAGTAAAGCAACAACAGTCCATGAGAGTAATGTAATAGAGAAGGCAGTGTTAAACAGAGAAGGAGAGACAGAAAAAGATGAAACAAAGGCAAAAGAGACTGATTAGTTTTACATAGTCTTGCTGGGGCATGTAATGCTTTGGGCTCTTCCAGAAGTCCTGATGCACTAACTATATGGTAATTGCCTAGAAAGGCGAAACTTCTGGTGTCCATAACCCTCCGAAAAGTCCTGAATCTGAGTTAGAGTCAGAACCTTCAGATGATTCGATCTTTATTTACCATACGTTTAGCCAGGAAGATCTAGAGGAATTAAAACCTGCTGTAACAGCTGGCATTAGTATAAAAATGAACCCCAATCGCTCTGAGACTTTGCCCCTCCCTACACTGACAACCAACACCAATGATCCGAATTCCCTCCCTTTCCCGCAGAGTTAGCCTGGTGGCCTTGGGAAAGTCGAGCCACTTACATGTAATTCCTAAATCACATGAAGTTTTGGGAGGCTGAGGGATAAGGGGATGTCAGCTAGCTCATTAATGAGCCTAATTAACAACCTTCAATGAGCAAGCTCGGACCAGTTCCTGCCATCAACTTAACGTAAGTCATTTCCAACCAAGACACAGACGTGTGGCCCTCCCACAATCAAGTAGGTCCAGCCACAACAAACTGCATTAAATCCATTTCCATAATGTTTTTCCTTTTCTGCTGCTTCACCAATTGGATAAAATTCTATTTTCTCCTTGTATGCCTGACCTCTATAACCTATAACTTTTAGCATAACCCATAGTTATATCACACACGGTTATCAGTAACTCAGCAGTATGGAAAATAAAGCCATTGTTTTATTCCCTCCCACATCCCACTGTTACTGGATGTACCAAGTGTTCATTTTTTATGCAAAATGTTTCTACCATATTTAAAGTTACAAAATCTTGAAGTTTGTGTTTAAATTCTAGATGTTATGATAGTTTACTTAGTAGAATGCATTTTATGATGTAGTTTGGACTGGAAGCTACTAAATTACCCCTTGAGGTGGCGCCAAGTGCATGGCAGCAATTTCACCATGGTAGATAGAGAAATGAACTGAAAGATCTTCTGAACAAAGCTATTCCTGCACCTATAGCAAGGCCAGATCAAGACTGGTGTAGATGGATAGATGAGTTGCATACCTTTAGGCTGCAGTTGGTGCATCACCTGAGAGAAGTGAACAGGTTAGATAATTGGATACGTGTGTAACGAGTGAGTATTTTTTATATTTAAATTGTATTTTGAATGTGATGTATTTATATAATATATGATGTGATTCAACAACTGTCAGCTTTGTTCCAGGAAAAAGCCGTGAACGGCTCAAGTCACTGGTATTGTATTTAATAATTGGTTTTTATGAATGAATACAACTTGATACATTACTGAACAGCTGAAAATATCGAAAAACTGTTTCTGGTCGTTTTTAAGCAGAAAAAGTTCAGTTATGGATTAATTTTCTGTAAATAGTAGTTGAGATCTGAAATAGATATGTTAATATAATATCTGACTGCCAGGTGCCAGGCTTACATCCAAACATATATAGCTGATTTTTTTTTTTTTTTGGCTTCTTGTAGGGTGACCTGCCTGATACTCATGCAAAATTCCATGTCTTGTTTCTTTTCTTTGTGGCGGCCATGTTCTTCATCAGTCTACTATCACTCTTCAGTTATCACTGCTGGCTAGTCAGCAAAAATAGGTCAACAATAGGTAAGATGGTCTTTAACTGCGTACAAATTTATTCTGACAATTGGAATAAAACTGAAGTACTGGTTTTTGCAGCTGCAATGCTGCCAATGATTATGACGTAAAACATTATCTGTTTTGTTAATAGAAAGAGACTTTTCATATCTGTCTTGGTATATTTGTATTACTACTTTGAAGAAAACATTGTTATACTGCTAACTGAGTACATTTTCACTCCAGAGGCTTTCCGTGCACCAGTGTTCCGAAATGGCCCTGACAAGAATGGATTTAGCTTGGGATTTACCAAAAATTTAAAACAGGTGTATGGAGACCAAGGGAAGTACTGGCTTCTTCCGATTTTTACAAGGTATGTTTTGTTGAGCAACATTGCTCTCAGTCTGGAGTCTCTTGAAGGTCAGGATGGTGTATGTCCTTCCCTTGGGACATTAGTGAAGCAGAATGGCCATAATAACCGATCTTGTAGTTCTATGACCATCACTGATAACAGCATTTTATTTATGATTTGAATTTATATTCCCTCCAACTTCCAGGGTGGAATTTAACTCCTGTCCCTGTATCACTGGTCCAGTAATATTACCATTGGGCTGCTATCCCCAAACTCATTACACTGTTATGCGCATGGTTGAAATAATGTATTGAAGGCTAATTGCTTAAAAGTTAAGCATTTGTTAGCAGTCGCCTTTTACATGAAAGCATAACTTAATACATACATTAAATGTCCTAATGCTATCTTAACAAATATAAGAAATTAATGTAAAAAAAAATCGTGGATGCTGCAGATCTGAAATGAAAACAGAAATTGTTGGAGAAACTCGGATGGTCTCTTCTCTTGCACAACACTGCTAGGATCCCTGGTCCTGACTTTCCATACCACTAGCATCTGCATTTAAAGTATCATTAATCATGTTTTCTGCCACTTCTTCCAGCAGGATGTCACCATCAGACACACATTCCCCTTCCCTCGTCAGCATTTTGCAGGGACTGTTCCCTCTGGGACACCTTTGTCCACTCCTCCTAATACCTCCGTATACTCCCACAGCACCTTCCTATACATGTTTAAAAAGTGCAACACTTGTCAATTTACCTCCTCCCTCCTCACTATACAGTGCTGCAGACACACTTTCCAAGTGAAATAGTGGTTTATCTGCACTTCACTCAATTTGTTCTACTGTGTTCGCTGCTCATAATGTCTTGACATTAGCGGGGATGAAATATAGACTGGGTGACGTCTTTTAGACAACACCTACATTCTGTCCCTAAATAAAGCACTGAGCTTCCAGTTGCCTGCCACTTCAACACATCAGCATGCTTGCTGTACAAAATTTTGTCTCAAACCTCCAGCAAGGCTCAGTGCAAGCTGGAAGCACATTTCATCTTTCACTTGGGGATCCTACAGCCCTATGAGTCAATAGCACCACCAACACCACCTTCCATGTCCTTACCCCACCCCTGTATCTTAAGGCCCTGTCATGGCATGCACTGTTTTCAGCACTGTCAACTCATTTTCACTTAGTTATGATCCCCATTATTAGGTTTTCTCCCTCCCTAGCTTACTATCAACCATCCCTGTGTCTGCCTAACTTTCTCTCTCTCCTCCCTCTCCCTCTCTCTCTGGGCTTCATCTCCATCTATCCACTGACTCTGCCTGTCCGGCCCCCAACGTCATCAGCATAAATGCCGCATTTTCCTAGTTAGTATCAGTTCTGAAGAACGGTCTCTGGACTTGAAACATTAACTTATCTTCACAAATACTGCCAAGCCTCCTGAGTTTCTCCGGCAGTTCTTATAAGAAACTAATATGCTTTGTATCAATTAGAATGGCCATTGTTGGTGGTGGTATGTATGGTATTTTAATGTTTTATCTTTCAGCCTCGGTGATGGATGTTCTTATCCAACTCGCCTGGTCAGTCAAGATCCAGAGCAGCCCAACTCAATCAACCATACTGAACCTGCCAAAAAGTACATTTATTATCTTTGTTTCCAAATATCTTTTAATTGAATGCTTCCTTTGATTAATTCTATTTGCTGCCTATTGAATTGCTTTTCCATTAGTAAACTGTTCAAACAAAATCAGAATTAACTGATAAAGCTAAAAGCCACAAGATTCCAGCGTTTAGAACAGACCAGTATCTGAATTGGAATATTGACAAGTCCATCTTTCTTATCTAATACAATTTAAGTTGAGGATTGCATCAATGCTTTCCGTTATTTGGATCTTCCTTTTCCTCGTGGTGATGGTTATAATAATTGAAGTAATTATTGGAAACCAATCATGGGTCTTTACTACCAACATATTTGATTTTGATTTGATTTATTATTGTCACATGTACCTAGGTACAGTGAGAAGTTCTGTTTTGTGTGCAGTATAGGCAGATCATACCGTCCGTACTGCATAGGGTATAAAGTGCATATAAACTACATATTGTGGTGCAGTGGTAGAGTCTGTACGTGTGAGCCAGGAGGCATGTGATAACATGTCTGAATAGGTTGATTAAAAGATATTTCTATACTACACCTATCTCTTTGGGCACCACAATAAATAATTCCATGACCAACAGAAACAAAAGCTTGGACACCCTTGGTTTTAATGTCTTGACGGGAGAATTTTCCCTGTGCCAGACACATCCGCATATTGTTGTTAACAGACTTGAAACCTATTACATGAGGTCTCTATATCACTTCCACTGATTGGTACTTTCACATAAATGTTAGTTAAAATTATGTAATTTCCAGGGAATCACCTTTGTTTTTTTCTTTGTGTTCTTTAGTTTTAATTTGAACCTAATTAGGTTTGGGTAACTGACTTGTCCTGTTAAAGTCATCTGTAATAACTTTTCACTCGCAGGTGCTCATAAACCTTTTTCTTTGCCATTCCATGGTTAATAATGTGCTCCCAAAGTGACAACAAATCCTTCATTAATCCTTAATGTAGCCTAGGCAAGCTATGCACGAATTTAAAACAATAACAGTAGGGAGAGGTGTAGCTAGCACTAATGAGTTGTTTAATTCCTGAATATATTCTAGCCAGAAATATTAATTCCCACTTCTTTTTTTCTCTGCTAAAAGCACACACACATTCAGGGCTCCTCTCAGTCTTTACTGCTCCAAGGAAAACAGCCTCTTCCTATCCAATCTTTCCTCGTAGCCTCCAGCCCCGGCAGCATTCTGGTAAATCTCCTATGCACCCCATCTCATGCAGTCACATGCTTCCTATAATTTAGCAACCAGAACTGCACGTAGTACTTCAGTTATGAAGTGACTAGCATTTCCTACTGTTCTTGTATAACCACCTGTATTCTATGCCTTGGCTAATAAAGGAAAGTATCCTGTATGTTTATTGATCACCTTATCTACCTACTACCTTCAAGATCTGTAAACTTCAAAATAGAGGAATAGTACAGCTAGTACGTTCATTTTTGTTTTTTAACTGTTATTTCCCCTTTGCCAAATCTGTGCCCTCCTGGTAATTAGAAGAAGGTAAAGACAGCTTGGGGAGATGTGTTTTTACAGATCTGCTTGTGAAAAGGAGAAACAAGAGTGCAGTCCCTTGATTTTCCTCCCCTTCCCATCCAGTACTCAACCTAAAGCTCCTCAGGCTTAAGGATTGGGTATAACTGATCATCTGATCTACAGGAGAGTTCCCTCTCCATCAGATTGACTTCTTGGCAAGGACCTGTTAAAGAGAACAGATGCACACTGAAATTAGAACACCACAGCATTCAGGAAAATCCTGTGTTCTGTCCCAGCATCTATTAACTTTCAAACTGTTGTGTATAAGCAGTAGACATACAAAAGTCCAAATATTATAAGCAGCATCAGTCACTGTCAGATAAACACTCTGCTTCTAGTTTCACTCTTCATGGCCAAGCTCCATTGTTTTGTACAAGGCTTCTGATCCTGTTTTATCCAGAAATGTAGAGCACATTGTAAAATGACTAGCTTCTTCTAATACTGGCTTGTCAGTGGATGACAAGCACCCATCCCATTTTCACATGCTGCTGTATTCTGGTGAGGGTTCACCAATAGACTGAAAAACTTGTGACATTAAAACAGCTTTTCAGTGTGTTCATGAATGCATGAGTTTTTGGATTGTCCAATATGGTTTTTCACATTGTCATAAAATCAATTGTATGTGAATCATATAGCAATGCTATATGACAGTTATTATTGGAATGCTGAGTTTACATTAGGTATTTACTTTGAAAGCTATGACACTTTTTAGTTGAATTTGTTATACTATTCAACCTAAGACGTCAGTGCTGAGAGTGGTAGATTTCAGTCTTGGTCAACTTGTGACAACGTCAGATACTGTGGTCACGTCTTCCATCAAATTATGTGCAGGTTAAAGCCTATTCTGAACCCTGTTCTGAACATCCATTTCGTGGGGCGCTGGCATCAGTATTGGAACAGGAGGGATCTGTACCATTGGGACAGTCTCTACCTGAATCAAACTGGGACCAATTTTCTAGCGAAAAGGGTAAATAGGATGGTCAACAGGACTTTAAATTAGAAAGTTGGAGGGAAGGGAAGGGTATAACACCAAATGGGAATCAAAGCAGCAGGTTAACATCTGTGGGGGTGGATTCAACTGTATGGAAAAATATATTTAAAAAATGAAAAGGAGGGAGAACTCAGGAGAGGTTATTAAACTCTCCAGAACACACAATAGGATAAACTGTTTGGAAAGGGTTAGGAATCTAACTTCAAGCACATTGGATAAAGGGATGACAACGAGAACAGGGACGGTAAGTACAGGACTGAAGGTGTTGTATCTGAATGCATGCAGTATACAAAATTAGGTAAATGAGCAAATGGCGCAGATTGAAATTGGCAAGTATGATGTGGTCGGCATCACAGGGACGTGGCTGCAAGGGAATCAGGACAGGGAGCTAAATATCCAAGGATATAATCCTACCAAAAAGACAGGCAGGTTGGTAGAGAGAGTGGGGTTGCCTTATTAGTAAGAAATGAAATTAAATCAATAGCAAGAAATGACGTAGGGTCAGATGATGTAGAGCCTGTGAGAGTAGAATTGAGGGACCGCAAAGGTGGTAAAGCCATATTGGGAATTATGTACGGGCCTCCAAACAGTAGTCAGGATGTGGGGCACAAGAAAAGAAAAGGTGTGTAAGAAGGGCAAGGTTACAGTGATCATGGGGAATTTCATATGTAGGTGGACTGGGAAAATCAGGTTGGTAGTGGATCACAAGAAAAGAAATTTGTGAAAGGTCTACGAGATGGCATTTTGGAGCAGCTTGTGGTGGAGACTACTAGGGAACAGGCAATTCTGGATTTAGTGATGTGCAATGAGGCAGACTTGATAAGGGATCTTAAGGTGAAGGAACCCTTAGGAGGCAGCGATCATAATGGGATAGAATTTACTCTGCAATTTGAGAGGGAGAAGCTGGAATCAGATGTAATGGTATTACAGTTGAATAAAGGCAACTCTGGAGGCATGAGGGAGGAGTTGGCCAGAAGTTACTGGGAGAGGAGCATAGCAGGAAAGACAGTAGAACAGCAATGGCAGGAGTTTCTGGGATTATTTGGGAGACACAGCAAAAATACATCCCTAGGGAAAAGAAGCATGGTACAGGGACAATGAGGCAACCATGGCTGACTAGGGAAGTCCGGGTCAGCATAAAAGCAAAAGATAAAGTACATAATGCGGTGAAGGGCAGTGGGAAGCCTAAAAAGACCAATAGAGGACAACCAAAAAAGAAATAAGGGAACAAATCGCTGCAGACGCTGGAAGCTGTACTGAACACAAGAAATGCTGGAGATCACAGTGGATCAGACAGCATCCATGGAGAGAGAGGAAGCTAACATTTTGAGTCTAGATGACTCTTCATCAGACCTGTTTTCACTAAAAAAAGAAATAAGGAGGCAGAAGATTAAATATGAGTGTAAGCTAGCCAGCAATATAAAAGAAGATTACAAGAATTTCTTCAGATATATATAAAGGGCAAAACTGGGGTAAAAGTGGATATTGGGCTAGTCGAAAATAATGCTGGAGAAACAGTAATGGGGAACAAAGAAATGGCAGAGGAACTGAACTTCGCATCAATCTTGGTAAGATTTTGGAGCCCATTGTGAAGGATGAGATTTCTGAATACTTGGAAATGCACAGTTTAAAAAGAAGGCAAAGTCAGCATGATTTTATCTAGTGGAGGTTATGCCTGACAAATCTGTTAGAAATCTTTGAGGAGGTAACAAGCAGGTTAGACAAAGGATGGCCAATGAATGTTATCTACTTGGACTTCCAGAGGGCCTTTGACAAGGTGCTGCACAGGAGGCTGCTGAGTAAGATAAGAGCCCATGGTGTTAGAAGCAAGGTACTAGCATGGATAGAAGATCCATGGCTGTCTGGCAGAAAGCAAAGAGTGGGGATATAAGGGTCCTTCTCAGGATGGCAGGTGGTGAATAGTGGTGTTCCGCGAGGGTTAGTATTGGGACCACAACTTTTCACTTTATACATTAATGATCTAGATGAAGGAACTTGGGACATTCAGGCTAAGTTTGCAGATGCTACAAAGATAGAAGGACAGGTAGTGTTGAGGCAGGGAGGCTGCAGAAGGATTTGGACAGGTTAGGAGAGTGGGCGAAGAACTGGCAAATGGAATACAATGTGAGGTCATGCGTTTTGGAAGGAAGAATCGAGGCGTAGACTATGTTCTAAATGGGGAGAAAATCCAGAAATCTGATGTGCAAAGGGACTTGGGAGTCCTTGTCCAGGATTCTCTGAAGGTTAGCTTGCAGGTTGAGTCAGTGGTTAGGAAGGGAAATGCAATATTGGCATTTATTTTGACAGGACTAGAATAGAAAAGCAGGGATATACTTCTGAGGCTTTAAAATGCACATCAGACCACATTTAGAATATTGTGAGCGATTTTGGGCCCCATATCTCAGAAAGGATGTACTGGCCCTGGAGCATGAGAATGATCCCAAGAATGAAAGGCTTAACATATGAGAAACATTTGAGGACTCTGGGTCTTTACTTGATGGAGTTTAGAACGATGAAGGGGGATCTGATTGAAACTTTCAGAATGCTGAAATGCCTGGATAGAGTGGATGTAGGGAAGATGTTTCCATTAGCAGGAGAGACTAGGACCCAAGGGCACAGCCTTAGAATAAAGGGAAGACCCTTTAGCATGGAGATGAGGGAAACCTGTTCAGCCAGAGAGTGGTGAATCTATCAAATTCATTGCCACAGAAGACTTTGGAGGCTGGGTCATTGAGTATATTTAAGACAGAGATAGATCGGTTCTTGATTGTTAAGGGGATCAAAGCTTACAGGGAGAAGGTGGAAGAATGGGTTTGAGAAACTGATCAGCCATGATTGAATGGAGGAGCAGACTTGATTGGTTGAATGGCCTAATTTCTGCTCCCATGTCTTATGAATTGGCTGCCATATTTCTTATTTCACATCAATGCATATGCTTCAAAAGTATTCATTGGCTATAGAGTGCTTTGAAAATTCCAGTCATTATGCATAAGTATGATTCTTCTTCCATTTTCTTGAAGTTTTTTACTATGCTGACCCTTCTGTATTGATAAAACTTGTTGTTTTAATTGATACACTTTACACCCCCACAGCAATGCTGATGGACAGACACTTCCTCCAAGACCGTTGAGCGAATCTCAAAACCGATTGTTAGGAGGCACTGATCAGCACTGGATAGATGAGGAATCAGATGAAGAAAGTTCTCAAGGTAGTAATATTTTCCACAGTGCTATGCTTGTTCACTGTATAGATTGATGAAGAATAAATAAATTCTTCAATTAAGACATTTCTACTTGACCAGGAAGAATCGTCATGAAACAAACCACTTAAATGTTTGCATTCCCCATTATTTTATGTATGTGTAAAGTTTGGAATTCATTTTGGTTTAAATCCCTGCACAGGCTGTGCAAACACCACCGCCCCCCCGCCCCACCCTCCTGGAAATAACCTAACCTCTTCACAGCTCTAATCTCCTCCAACTCTCCAAGAATACTGCACTTACCTAGTTCCAAATTATGGCTGAAGGAGTTCCAGAGTACTATTATAATAAAAGCTGACTTCTGATGAGGAACCTGTGGAGAAGGAATGGATGGTTATTCATCAAAGAGTGCTACTGCTTTGATATTGTAAGGAAATATTGTGTATAAGATGTGACATTCCTGTGGCAGAACATTTGGAAATATGGAAAACACAACCATCAATAAATAAATAGCAGCTTTGATAGCCTTACCAGTTTTTGAAGAACTATTCAGTCAAGTGTTAGTGGATCGTAGGGATTATCGAAGACAAAAGGAGGACATACACCTATCCTCTCAATTGTGCATATGACAACCTGATTCCCAGAGCTATTTCTTTAAGGACCATTACAACTAAAGTAGCTATGGAAAATCTAACTTTTTTTTATACTTGTTATGGATTACCAATTGAGATACAATCTGATTAAGGTTCTAACTTTGTCTAAAGTGTTTCAGAACATCATCAGTTTGAGTATAAAACAGTTGAAGTCAACTGCGTATCATCTGCAAATAGAGATAGCTTTGGCATACTGTCATGAATACTCAGCATTGTTACGAACCATTAGATTTCTTCATAACTGCACCCAGAGATTCCCCAGATGAATCTACTGGATTTTTTTCATTTGATTTATGGTTATATGCTTAGGGGTTAATTAAATTTGATTAGGGAAATATCTGAAGACAAAAAGATGAATTATTAATGTTGGATTACATTTTCATCTTTTCTAGAAAGACTCACAGGAGCATGTAACTGTAGAGACTCTCGCTGCATTTCTTTTATTTTTCTCATTTTTTTTGGTGGAACTGCTGAGTTAGTTGAACTTTGAACATCTGTGTGTTTTAAAATAAATCAAATGCAGATGTTTGCTGTTGATGATTGGCCTTGAAGATAATGCAACTTAAGTACTAATCTAAGGCACACTGGATGATACAGCATCAAGTGTTGCTGTGTCCAGGGCTGACAACTAGTTGGATGTTGAATTGGTCAATTAAGGAAGGACCAATGTTAACCAGCTAACTATAGAGAATATTTTTTTGAAAAAAGGGATGTAATAGAAGCGCACTTGGAAAAGCAAAATCTAATCAAGCAACGTCAGCTGGCTTCAGGAAAAGGAAACCATGTCTCTCTAATTTATTAGAGTTTTTTGAGGAAGTGTCAGTCAGAGCAGGTGGAGGAAAAACAGTACGTGTTCTGTTTGGACTTTCAGAGGTCATTTGACAAGGTACCTTACAGAGGGTTAAGCCATAAGAGTTCATAGTGTTAGAGGCATGGATAGAGATTTAGATAATGGACTGGAAACAGCAAGTGGGATAAGGGGTTCTTTCTCAGGTTCAGGTCTCACCAGTAACCAGTGAGGTTCCACAAATTGCAGTGCTGCAACAGCAATTGTTTACAATATATATTAACGACTTGGTGGAAGGAAGCAAATGCATCATAGCCAAATTTGCAAATGACACAAATATATACGGAAAGGTAAGTAGCGAGAAGGATGCAAACAGTTTAGAGACGAAACGGAAATAGCTGAAGAAACTCAGCCAGACCTACTGAGTTTCTTCAGCTTTTTCTGTTTTGTTTCAGATTTCCAGCATCTGCAGTTCTTTGTTTTTAGTTTACAGAGGGATATTGGTAGATTAAGTGAGTGGGCATAAAGATGGCAAATGGAGTAATAGTGTGAGAACATGTGAAGTTCTTCCTTCCAAAATGAACAGCAAAAGAACAGTATTATTTAAATGGAGAAAAACTGCAAAAGTCTGCACCCACAAAGGGACTTGAACTACTTGTACATGAAACACAGAAAGCTGGCACACAGGTGAGGCAGTAATCAGGAAAGCTAATAGAATGTTATTTCTTATATGGAATGCTTATTTCAAGGGTGTTGGAGTATAAAACTAGGGAAGTCTTACTGTATAGGGTGCCAGTTGCCTTTTTAAGGGACGATATCATTTTGTTGTAGTAAGTTCAGAGAAGTTTCACTCGGATGATCCTTGATATGGAGGGATTGAAACATATAGGATTCTTAGGAGGATTGACAGGATAAATGCTGAGAGGATGTTTCCCCTCGAGAGAATATAGGGCCAGAGCGCACAGTCTCATGAATAAAGGGGCACCAAGTTAAGACTGAAATGAGAAGGAATTTCTTCTGAGGGTTAACAGTCTTTGGATCTTTATGCCACAGAGAACTGAGAGGTAGGAATCCTTGTGAATATTTAAGGCTGAGATTCGTGATCAGTAGAATAATCAAGGATTATGATGAAAAGGCAAAAAAGTGAATATGTGGAATGTCGGATCGGTCATGATCTGTTTAATGACAGAGCAGGCTCAATGGGCCAACGGCCTACTCAGTTCCTATTTCTTATCATTTTAATACTGGTTCTGACTGGTTTTGGCAGGTGCTGAGTGATTTTTGGTAGCTTTGGGACTAGCTGCTATGATTTTACGCTGTCTGATTTTCTATCCTATTAAAGAATTATTGAATGTTCTGTGAAAAGAAATAAGTAAACAATTCTGGAAGTCTGTTGAAATTGTTTGTATTCACTGAAGACTTTGAAATTAGATATACAACACATGCCTGGAAGCAACTCCTTTTTCCAAGAATTACATGAAGGCTTGTCGTCCATTGTTTGAAACTGTTTAATTGAACCACCCAATCTCAATTCTTGTATTTTCTTTCTAATTTATCCCTTTACTGTATCTGGCTGTCTGTGAGGGGATGATGCCCAAAGAAGATTGGTTTAAATCATTGATATTAATTAGATTACCTCATTGTTTACCTTTGTCATTCTAAAGTTACCATATTAATAAATTATTTTTTGCTTACTAGATGCTAGGCATGATGTGGACAAAGGAGAATCAGGACTGGTGAAACAACATCCTTATTGATTGAATTTAGTGCACAAACTCAATAAAAGCAGAGATTCAGTATGCGCTGGATAATTACTGGTATGAACCCAGCTAAAGCTGCTGGAGTTCACTGGTGGTGTCAGTTGCTGTACTGGATGGATCAACCAGTACTGATCCAGAATGCAGTATAGACTACAGGAAATTAAATGCAGTCACGAAAACAGTTTTGTACCCAGTCCTACGGTTAAGAGACTATACCTGTAGGGTTGACAATTTCTCATTCCTTTCTATGAATGATGTACTGAGGGATACTGGCAATTCCATTAACATCAAAGGCTAAAGAGATGTCCACTTCTGTCCTACCAAAAAGGTTTAACACTGTTGAGTAATGCCATAGGGGTTAACACGCTAGGAACATTCCAAAGACTTATGAATCAAGTCGTAGCTGTAATATATAACTATTAGTTATATGGATGGTATCACAATATTTAGTAACTCGTGGGAAGTGCTTATGAGATAAGTAGACCTGTTTAAGCAATTACAGTTGGCTGGTTTAATAATAAATTTAACATAAAATGAATTCACTAAAGCAGGAATGACATATCTAAGATATGTCGTAGGACAAGGAAAGGGGTTACCAAATACAGTGGAAGTGAAAACACTCAAAGAATTTCCTGTTCCTAAAATTAAACAAGAAATCATAAGATTTGTAGGAATGTGTGCCTTTCACCAGAAGTTTGTACATGATTTCGGAAATGAACAAAATTGGAATGTTCAGCAGAATGCCAACCAGCCTTTAGAATTGTCTTCAGCTTCTCAATAAAGGCACTGGTCACCCCAGAATTTTCCAAACCTTTTTAAAGTGGTCATTGATATTAGTGACTTGGGATAGGTGCAGCCTTGTTACAGGATGATGAGTCGTGAACAGCGAAGCCAGTGGGGTACTTCTGTAAGGAGCTAAACTAATATCAGAGGAAGTACTTTACCATAGTAAAAGAGACTTTAGGATTATTGCTGACACTTCAATACCTTCAAGTCTATGTCTAACACTGTAACATAGAAACATTAATCGTTAACATCTATTATAATAAACCATAATCAATTGGTATGCATTGAAAAGTTTAAAACTGTGAGTCTGCAGAGACCGTTGTTTCAAGCATGTAAAGATTATACACATTGCTAAAAAAAAGTTATTGTAAAAGCATTGACTAAAGTATGAAATGATGAAATAAGTTAAAGATTTCTGAATTGTTGAAAGATTGTGTAAGAAGGGAGGGAGGAAGAATGAATGGATGTAAGACTCTTGTTAGCTGTCCATCTCTCCAGTCCCAATGTCCTGAGGCCTGTGACTTTTCCTCTTCCTGATTATCCCTATCCACTATCTGAGGTCACTGATCCAAAATTCTTTCCACCTAATAGTGACATTTCCCAAATTTCCTTCACTACCACTATCCCATGTCCTGAAGCTTTCAATCATTCTCTGAACCATTATAGTGCTAACTGATCTTTGTTCTACCCTCTTCCCAGAGAACATCATCCCACAATGGCAGCTGCTCAGTAACTAGGTTGGAGGCTCATTACCTAGGGTTCTTGAGGCCTCTTAGTTTGTAGATGGGACAATTTCACTGAAAACTGGAAACTGTCAATTTAACTTAAGTGGTTAATTTACAAGATTCCAAATAAGAAGAGTGGTCTGAAGCTCAAAATGTTCACTTCATTGCTGTTTTCTTTCCCCAACATTTTCAGTTCCAAATCAGAATGCTGCCGTTTCAATAGACGAGGAATCTACTAAACACTCAACATAAGGAAGGTAAAATAGTAAAAGCGTTACTAGTCTTAACAGCTTGTGTTGCATTCAGCATTGTTACGTGACACTGTTTTGTTAAGTACAAAAATTTACTTTATTGTGTAGAGTGTATCTTCCTACAGAGGCTATTTTTGTTTCATTTACTATAGCTGAGTCAATATATCAAAAAGGCAAATTATTGGAAATTCTTTTTTGAGAAATAGCCTCTAGTTCCCTTTTGCCATTGTACTGAAATTACTTAATGAGCACAATAAAGATTCAAACACAAAACTATATGTACCTTCTGAAAAGGGAAAACAATATCTAATTCTGCGTGAAATGTCTTAACTGCTGAAATATCCTGTTCTAAGTGGTAGATACATTCTTGGAAACCATTACATGAATCAAAGCTATTAATATGAGGGCATGCATCCCCAGCCCAATATTTTTGACCTCAATAAAGTTAAGGAAAACAAAATGTTGATGAATCTTCTACATTCCCACTGGAAAATAATCAAAATGAACTGGTTTTGTTTTTTCTGGGTTGCTCTCTAACAAGCTACAATTGCTCCCTGTCTATCTCCTGGTATTGGATGCTTGTCCTACTACTGAAAAGCTACCCAGCCTTAGGCCTCTTCAACCTGTAACCATTCTCCAAGTGCTAGAAGTACTGGAGGCCATTGAGTGCTCCAACAAGTCTCTGAAGATTTAAAACACACTGGTGGTCAGCTGGATTGGAGCAGCTAGGCTCCTGGTTAACCTTGTATAGCGGGCTTTTCCAGCTCGGAGGTGAATAAATGAGAGTTTGAACAGCCATGGACTGCTCCTGCACTGATATTGTTACTACTATGGAATATGCAGCGTTCCTGAAGGAAGTAGTTGAATTCAGTCACAAGGTGTACCCTCAATCTGACTGCAAGTAAGCAGCCACTGGGTAAACCAAGGGTACAATTCTAAGGTGGGGGATGGGGTGGGAAAGAGACCAAAATCAATGCCAAAAGTTCTAGAGAATGGGGAAGATGCCCTGTCATTGTTTTACAGGCTGATACTATGAAAAATTTACAAAATCTTCACCCAATTCCCAACTGCTTAATAATGAGAGTAGGCTACGTGACATATGCAACAAATAAATAGCTAGTATTTTGTTAACAATTAAATAACAAAACTACGTTGATCAAAACTACTTAGAATGAACAGTATGGATGCAAATAAATTTCCTTCAAATGATTTGTTAATAAACCATTTTTTTTCATCTAGATATTTCTGGTACACAATGTTGAGACTGGAATGCTGCTCACTTCTGCGGAAGAGGAAACTAATAGAAGCTTGATTTCTAATGATGTGAACAACTACTTGTGCATCAGAGTTTTTGTACTTATGGAAAGTCATTAGCAGTAATGTTGTGAAAGGCAATAATTTAAAATTAGCGTTGCTTGTTGCCTTAAATAACTTTATTCAAAGGACCCACAGACACTGTGGTAATGATACAAATGTAATCGGGGTCCCAGATTACAAAGCCACTAGTCTTCTCTATGTCAGAATGTACAGATCCCCAAGACTATTATAATCAGTATCCTAAAACACAATAGCCTTACAGTATGTAATCTGTAGTTGCGATTTGAAATATCCAGTCAGTTATATTTTTCTTGTTTAATTGGATGTCAAATCTACAGTCAGATACCTTGATTTTAAACCTCTACTTAACTGCCAGGTTATGGTGTTATAGGATGTAAAAGGCACTGAAAGGAAATATTATAATTGTGTTAACATTATAATAAGCAATATATATCAGATGTACTACATAAGTGAGGGATGCAAGGGATTGAACTGTATAATAGTTAAATTGTACTTACAAGGATTTTAATATAACTGTTAAAGACTGCAAGCTGTAACATAAAATCAATTGCTGCTGCAGGTCTGTATTTTAATCAAGCAAAAGCCAATAATCTTGAGGGGAAGTGTGCTGTCACTTCTGTAAATTTATGCAAGATTTTCTGCACTAATATTTGGTGTCCTTGTATGTATGTTGTTAATCAGAGCTGCTGTGCACCAAAGCGCAGTTACTGTTTATGAAACACTTTATTTATTGCAGGCTCCGAATGAACTGTGGTTTACAAGTGACATAATCTTTTAGTTTTTCCTTTTTTTTAAACTTGTGGTCAATATTTCTAGCTATCTTGTTCACTGGTTGTCTTTTTTTATGTGCCCAAAGGATTTTTTTTATATTGCATAGGTAGTAGTCAATAGCAGTAACTATCATAGACCTACAGTAGCCATCAGTCAAATGAGACATTAAACAAAAGTGATTTAAGAAAGGGATATTTTATAGTATACTATATATTTGGTGATTCGACTTGTGTCTCGAACAATTGATGTAAGCAATGCTATGTACTGTATGAATCCAATGTTATTTTTTTATTGGAAAAGTTGCAAATGACACGTATCCAAACACAAACAAATGTATTAGAAATTAATGCATCCAGTCAGATTGAAGAATAGGGAGATTCTGATTCACAATGAAGATGCTGAATCTTTCAATTGATTTGTAAATTCCTTCACACTGAATTATCATTTGTGTTGTGTGAATTGGCAAGTTGATAAAAGTGTACGAATTTATCATGTACATCCTCAGTACACCTGTTGTGCTCCATGTTGTCCAATTTGTTTTCCATTACTAAGGTAAGTTCAATGTATTTTGTAAACATAGTAATAAGTGCTCAATTTCAGCATTGGATTTTTCACTTTCAGCTTCAATTATCAGGGCTCCTGATGCATTCTTCAGGTGAAAGAAAACTTAGCCTGTTACTGAAGTGACATTGGTGCTGTGGTAATTCTTACCATTGTACATATCTGTGACATAAGCATTAAGCAGAAAAATGGTATACCAATCATGAACATTGTGACAGTATTAAACAAACAGATTTATCCCAGAAAAAATCTATATAGGAATGCTAATTTAATGTACTCAAATCAGTAGTAGATTTTGTATTGATGTTTACCAACAGATTATCCAAATGAAATTGATATTGTTTGATAGAGTATGTTCAGACTTAAACTATAAGTGGTGCACTTTTTCCTATCATTCATTTTTTTCCCCTATCTTTCATGCATATGGGCAACTAAAACTTGTCTGAAATTTATCCTGAAGACAGCCATGTTCTTGTGACATTTTTTATTAATAATTCAACCTAATGTAGACAAATTAGTGCCAGTGATCAAGGGTGAATGATATTTTAACTTGGCATGTCATGCAAACATTTTAGTTGTATGTTTTATTTCTCCTAATAGCCAAATTAAACATATTGCATGCAGTATATGCATGTGTTGCTCTGTTTTGTCATTTCTCGACTATTCCTAAGTTAAACTGGCTACTATTTCTAACTTTGTTCAGTCAAATTTGTCAATAAATACAGAGGATGAATAAAAGCCAAAAATGATTTTAAAAAACGGCATAGACCCTGGTATTTACTGTGGATTATATGCAATAATGTCACTATCGATCTGCATTTGACTTTATTTGTACAATTATATCACAGTAACTATATAATTTGAGGCAACAGTGAATATGAGAGTCAGAGTCATACAACACAGAAACAGACCCTTTTTGGTTCAACTCATTCACGCCAACCAGATATCTCAATCTGACCTAGTACTATTTGCCAGCATTTGGCCCATATCCCTCTAAACCCTTCCTATTCATATACCCATCCAGGTGCCTCACCAATGTCCTGTACAGCTGCAACACGATGTCCCAACTCCTATACTGAATGCACTGACCAATGAAAGTGAGCGTGCCTAATGCCACTGTCACTACCCTGTCTACCTGCGACTCCACTTTCAAGGAACTATGCACCTGCACCCCTAAGTCTCTTTGTTCAGCGACACTCCTCCGAGCTCTACCATTAATTGTATAAGTCCTGCCCTGGTTTGCCTTAGCAAAATGCAACACCTCACATTTATCAAAATTAAATTCTATCTGCCACCCTGGCTCATTGGCCCATCTGATCAAGGTCCTGTTGTATTGGGATAACCTTCACTATCCACTACACCACTAGTTTTGGTGTCATCTGCAAACTTATTAGCCATACCTCCTATATTCACCTCCAAATCATTTATGTGAATGACAAAAAGCAGTGGACAAGCACCAACCCTTGCTGAACACCTCTGGTCACAGATCTACCACCACTGTCTGCCTCCAACATTCAAGCCAATTTTGTATCCAATTAGCTAGCACCCCCTGGGTGAAATGTGATCTAACCTTGCTAACCATGGAACTTTCTCGAATGCCTTGCTGAAGTCCATTTAATCAACATTGACTACTCTGCCTTCGTCAATCTTCTTTGTCACCTCTTCAAAAAAATCAGTTAAATTAATGAGACACGATTTCCCACTCTCAAAGCCATGCTGATGATCCCTCATCAGTCCTTGCCTTTGCAAATGCATGCAAATTCTACCCGTCAGAATCCCCTCCAACAACTTACCTACCACTGACATAAGTCTCACCGGTCTGTAGTTCCCTTGCCTTTTCTTCTAGCTTTCTGGCCCCTTGGTTATTGATGATACAAATATCTTGGCAAGGGGCTCAGCAATCTCTTCCCTAGCTTCCTGCAAAATTCTAGGAACACCTGATCGGATCGTGGGGATTTATCTGCCTTTACACGTTTTAAGACCCTCCAGCACCACCTCTTTTGTAATAAGAACTCCTGTTGAGACATCACTATTTACTTCCCCAAGTTACCTGGCTTCCATGTCCTTCTCCACAGTAAATATGGTGTAAAATATTTACCCATCTCCTGTGGTTCCAAACGTAGATGGCTATGTTGATCTTTAAGATGCCCTATTCTCTCCCTAGTTACTCTATTGCCTTTAATCTATTTATAGAATCACTTTGGATTCTCCTTAACTGTGTTTGCCAAAAATACCTCGTCCCATTTTTGCTTTCCTGATTTCCCTTTTAACTATGCTCCTTCAGTCCTTGTACTTCAGTCCTGGTACACCAACCAGCCTTGCCCTTCACACACCGGAACATACTGTCTCTGAACTCTTGTTATCTCATTCTTAAAGGCCTCCCACTTTCCAACTGTCCCTTTACCTGTGAATAGTCTGCCCCAATAAACTTTTGAAAGTTCCTGTCCAATACCATCAAAATTGGCCTTACTCCAATTTAGAAAGCTGTGTTTTTGATCAGTTCTATCTTTTTTGTACTTCTGTTAGATTTAAAATAGTTATGATCACTTGCCCCAAAGTGCTCCCCCACTGACAGCTCAGCCACTCAGCCTTATTTCGCAATATGTGTTGCTCATTCTCTAATAGCTATATCCAAATTTTCTTGAGAACACTTAATAAATTCCTCCCCATCCAGGCACTTAACACAGTCCCAGCCTCTGTTTGGAAAGTTAAAATTGTCTACCATTACAAACACTGTGGTTAAATCCCCAAAATCTAACAGTCTGAATCAGAGCAATGTTGTGAAAGGTCCATGCAGAGGCAGCCCAACTCCTTGTCAGAAGCCTCCATGTTCCAGTGTTCAGGGAATGCTGTTCAAAATGTTATTTGTGTGTGCTGTGCCTGCTGAATGATCAGGCTGGGCCAAAGGGCCTCTTGCCAAACTATGAAACTTTGACTTCAATTACAATTAAAATCCAAACTCGAGAAAGTCAAAGCTAACCAACTAAACACAAGACCAATACAGTAGTAAGTATGCTTAAAATAGATTCATGAATTTGTATATCAAAACAAGTACAAAAAAATGATACTTAGGCAGTGGACTTGGTCAATTCACAATGGAATTCTGACTCTCAAATTACAGCTGACTGAGGTCCTGTCTCTTCCTATGTGTTGTCCAAAGTTTTCCTTCTGACTTCTTTTTGCACACCTGAAATGACTCAGAAAGCCTTATTGGCATTTAATAGCCACTATCTCTGGCTATGATCAGAAGCACCCAGAGCTCCAATTGACTTAATAGTGCATTGACAATTCTTGGTTAATCTTGGATTCAGTTGATAATATCTGCCCAATTCCCGCTTGGCTTCATTAAAGATGGTCCTCTTCCTGGTTCTTGGTCAGTTAATTGTTACTTCCTACTACTATTCCCTGATTCTATCTTTGTATCATAAGCTCTTTTTGATAGATTATTTGCATCAACCTATTAGCTTTTACAACCTTAGTGATAATGTTGCACCTTTGTGTCTACCTCAAAGTGTGTAGTCTAATTCCCAAGGGCTGTTACAGTGCAGTGGCAATATCCGTTTGTCTGAGCCAGGAGACTTGCATTCAAGTCTCACTTACTGTAGAGGTTGATTAGAGAATATTTATGCAATGAAACTCTCAGTGCTTTAATCTAGTTTGAAATTTTCCAGTGAGCCATCTGAATGTTCTGAAAAACCTTGAGTCATAGTTATACAGCACAGAAACAGACCTTTGGGTCCAACTCGTCCATGCGTCCCAGATGTCCTAAACTGATGTTGAAGTTTATTCAAGTTTATCAATATCTTTTAACTGAAAAAACCATATGTTGTTGTATGATTTGACCGTGGCCCTGGTGCTTAAGACAAGTTGATACTTGGCAGTCTGTGGTATTTGCCTAGGAAATTAAAGGTGCTGACTAGAATCTATAACCTCCAAAATAAGCCATTAAAGGCAAAAGGAGGTTTCCACTTCAATTAAATGGATAATGACCAGCAAAAAGTTGAGGATTAAAAAAAGTCTGTTCTAACTAAAACACACCCTGCTATTCATCTGAAGCCTCCTGTTCTCCCCGACACACACACACACACACACACACACCACTCCTCAACCTCCTCTCACCACAAACAATTCCCCGAACACTGGGCACAACACATCACCTAGTGCTTTCCCAATCAGTCTGACACTACATTGAACGACCCCCCCTCCCTTGCCACCAGCCTGTCACTATGACAGACCACGCCTACTGCAGATGAACACACCTCACTCCAGTTGCCAGATCCAATTTCCCCATGCCCTCTACCACTGTACCCAACACACCCCCAGCCATCAGCTATCCTAAACAATCTGATATGTACCTGGTATCCTGTGCACCCAGCACCTGAACCCCTCAACCAACTTCCACTCTGACTCCACTTTCATCTATGTAGTTGCTCTTTCAGAGAAGCTGTCAAGATGGATGGCTGTTGCATATTTAAAACACAGAATACTGCACACTGAAATGAAAGGGAGTTTGATTTGACTTCCTGTACTGGAAGGGGTTGAGATATTCCAATGAGCAAAGAGTTATTAGATCAACACAAACTGGATTTATACTTGAAGCCAATGGTTCTGAGTAAGTCTTATCAGACTTCAAATGTTAACTCTGTTTCTCTCTCCGTAGATGTTGGCAAGCCTCTGAGTTTCTCCAGCACTCTTATTTCCAATTTCCAGCACCTCAATATTGTACTGTTTAATTGACTGTCATTCTCTTTCAGGTGTGCCCACTTTGAAGTTCCATTCTTCTCTCCAGGGTTTCTGTTTTAAACTTTTCGGCAAATTCTATCTCTGTCCTAGAGTTTGATGGTGTTTGCCAAAATTCACTCTTATAGCCACATCTCCTTCCTCTGAGTGTGTCCAACTTGGCCTTACCCTACACCGATTCCAACTGAAGTTCTGTCTTTCATGTTTCAAACTCAACCCAATTTATAGGTATCTCCAACACATGCCGCTTTCCTCAGACAGCTTCTCCTGCCACATCCTGAGATCCACACTCAGTACCATGCTATTCTCAACGTCTCGCCATCAGCACTACCTCATGCTGTACCAAATTTGTCCTGGTTCCTGGTTCCTGGTTCCCAGTTCCATTTCTTGTCTCTCTTAATGCTTTAACAAGAAACTTCTTCTCTTCCTTTCAGGTGTTAAGGAATACAAGTTCCAAATACTGTCAGGTACTGCCATCCCTCTGGATTCTTCATCACCTCCCCTCTAAGTCAACCCCACTTCTCGTCTTCTGACCTTTCTCCCATTAATGCTGAACAATCTGTGCTCATCAAAGCATTTTATACTTACAACTCCCCCTCCCCCACTGAATTTTGGCTTCACCTCCATGCCTACTTCTTTGAACAGGAGTCCTCTTTCACCCATCTCCAAGAATCCCTAATCTCTGGCTATTTATTTACACTTGATCTTATCACATCAACAGTTCTTGATGAAATCAGCTGCCTAAATGTCTTCCCGTCTTCATCTGCTCTAACCTGTCTCCTTCTGATGTTGCTGCACACTGTTCTCTCCGGTCTAACCCTGGCTTTATCAAGCCCCCTAGTAAGGGTGGTGCTGTTGTCATCTGGTGTGCTGATCCCTACTTGGCAAAGGCTGAGTGCTAGCGCTCAGACACTTCCTTCTAATCTCCCATAGATCATGACCTCACTGAACATCAAGGTGTTATTTCCAGGACTGTCACCGACATCTCCTCTGGAAATCTCTCCCACTTCATAGCCCAT